TTGTATCTATATGCACTTTTATGTTGTGCTCTTTTACTTCAAACTATTTTGTAGACATTCTTCCGTGTTTTCACAGTCATGATAGTTATCCAGTTTAAAGGCTATATCATTCTCAGTTATATTTATAAGCAATTGTTTACTTAACTATTCCACTGCTGTTGAATATAAGGTTTTTTTCTCCCTGCACTTGTTTTAACTAGTATTGTTTCAGAAAACTCTAAGCACCTAGCTTTTTCTTCTTTCGCGTCTTTTTCTAGAGATGAATTCTTAGGAGTAGGGTGTGCTGCTGGTATTGTTCTTGGGTTGTGTTGCCTAGTGGTCCTTCAACACGTGCTGCAACACACATGGGTATTCCCATTTTCCTGGATGCTTAGCTGCCGTGTGCCTTGGCTAACTTTTTTGGAGGGAACGTAACAGATATGTAAAAGCTACATTTAGCTCCTCATTATTAGTTCAATTTGTGTTTACAAGTTCCTAATGAGGTTTTGCCACCGGATCTAAGATGTAGTAGGAGAAGCACAGTATTTGGACAGAGGAAGACCCAGGAGTGAATCTTGCTTCTAATTCTAGCGAATTGGACGATCTTAAATAAGTTACTTAAACTCCACAAGACGCAGTTTATCTGTAAAATGGGGATAATGTCTACTTTACAGTACAGTTGTGAGGATTAAATAAAGTTTCAAAAGTGTCGACACAGTAAAATTTTGTCCTTTTTTATCTCTCTTTTCTTTATCTATCATCGTATTTCTTCTTATTTATTTGTTTATTGTTTTTTGAGATGGAGTCTCTGTCGCCCAGGCTGGCATGCAGTGGTGCGATCTTGGTTGCTCACTGCAACCTTAGCCTCCTAGGTTCAAGTGATTCTCCTGCCTCAGCCTCCCTGGTAGCTGGGATTACAGGCCTGCACCACCACACCCAACAATCATTGTATTTCATTTCATGACAAATTATGTTTTCATAGTATCGCCTTCTTTACCTACTAAAAGCTTGGCAGTGGTCTCATATATTAGAGTGATCTCTTTATTTTTTTATTGAAATTAACTCTTTTTTCATATTTAATATAAATAGCTTCCACTTTTTGATTGCCTCTACTACAACTCTGTGTAGAGTTCTTATTCTCAAGGAATTAAAAAAAAAAAGACATTCGTAGACCTAAAGGTGACTATTATTGTTTCTCAGTTTTCAGAACAATATTTACATATGTAAATGTTAAATAACTTGGCCAAGGTCACACAGCAGGTAAGCGGCAGAGCCAGCATGAGACCCTGGGTGTCTGACCCTGCTCAGCCTTCCTGCTCTCCATCTCTCCCACTGAGCCTTGGCTTCTCAAGTTGGAAGTTAAACACCAGACTTCAAAAATACATCTTTCCCCACCTGTTAAACTAGTGTGTATGCTTTGAATGTACAGATACCTAGAGCATCCTAACTTTAGAGAGTTTCTGACAGTGCAACAAACTTTCTTTTTAATCTTCATCTAATATAAAATACTAGCTGTTTCTCTAGGTTCTGCAGTTAAAAAGTAAATACTAATGAACAAGTTAAAATTACCTTTGAAAGAGCCCTCCTTGTGATGTGATATGGATGGATATAGGGAGGAGAAGCCTTTTCTGTTTACATCTTCTAATTAAAGTGATAACAGCTCCTTTGTTACCTAGGTGCTGAGTGATGGTGGCTTTCATGTCTTGTCTGTTGACTACAGAGGTATGTGTTAAGAACGGTGTACAAAGATTTTTCAATAAGTGGGGGGCCTCTGATGACCCCTCATTTTGAAGGCAGTGATACTGTGTTTGCCTTTTCTTGCTGCCAGGATTTGGGGACTCTACGGGTAAGCCCACAGAGGAGGGACTGACTACGGATGCCATTCGTGTCTATGAGTGGACCAAGGCAAGAAGTGGCATCACTCCCGTGTGTCTCTGGGGCCACTCTCTGGGTACAGGGTAAGTGAGATCTGCAAATGTGTCCTGAGGCAGGTCCTGGAGGCTTTAGTGTCCTATCAAAGGCAGCAGCCAGTAGTGGAAGGAGCACTGAGCCAGAAGACAGGGACTCTTTGCTGATCACTTTCACACTCTAGAAGTGGCTGAAGATCTTGCCACCTCACCACGCTGTTTGTAAAACAACAGAAGGTCCCTTCAGCTGTATGGTTATCTATTACATTGAAGTCCACGTCTTTCTGAGGGTTTTAAAGAAAAGGATCCTTGGCCAGACGGGGTGGCTCACACCTGTAATTCTAACACTTTGGGAGGCTGAGGTGGGCCTATCACTTGAGGCCAGGAGTTCGAGACCAGCCTGGCCAACATGGCCAAACCCTGTCTCTACTAAAAGTACCAAGAATTAGCTGGGCTTGATGGTGCATGCCTGTAATCCCAGCTACTCAGGAAGCTGAGGCAGGAGAATCACTTGAGCCCAGGGAGGTGGAGGTTGCAGTGAGCTGAGATTACACTACTTCACTCCAGCCAGGGTGACAGAGTGAGACTGTCTCCTCCCCAAAAAAGAAAGAAAGAAAATGACCTTTAATATAGGGCCTGTGGAACCCTTTGACATAGTGTGCAAATTTTGTATCTATATGCATTTTTCTAACCAGAGAGCCCAGAGCTTTTATCAGATGCTCATACCAGAAGTTGCATTTGTACTGTTAAGTTATTGCTTAACATAATGTCCTAATTCTCATTGCTTTACAGAGTTGCAACAAATGCTGCAAAAGTGTTAGAAGAAAAAGGTAATATAAAATGCTTAAGTGGTATAATTTCCTATCTGAACATGGGAAAGTAAAAACAGTCAAGAGACTATTGTGTACACTTTGAACATACAGACACCAAAAGCATCCCAACTTTAGATGGTTTCTGGCAGTGCAACGGACTTTCTTTTTTATCTCCATTTAATATAAAATAATAGCTGTGTTTTCAGGTTCTGCAGTTAAAAATAAATATGAAGGAACAAGTTAAAATCACCTTTGAAAGAGTCCTCCTTGGCCAGTGTGGTGGCTCATGCCTGTAATCCCAGAACTTTGGGAGATGAGGCGGACGGATCACGAGGTCAGGAGATCGAGCCCAGCCTGGCCAAGATGGTGAAACCCTGTCTCTACTAAAAATACAAAAATTTGCTGGGCACAATGGTGGGTGCCTGTTATCCCAGCTACTTGGGAGGTTGAGGCAGGAGAATTGCTTGAACCCAGGAGGCAGAAGTTGCAGTGAGCCGAGATTGCCACTGCATTCTAGCAAGAATCTGTCTCAAAAAAAAAAAAAAAAAAAAAGAGTCCTCCTGGTGATATGATATTAATTTAAATTACAGGATAAAAAATACTGTATCATTAAATGATACACAGAACTGGCTTTCTGCAGTCCTTCTTAGTAATATTTATGTCAGGGTTTCTCAAAGTGATCTAACTGTTTGTATCAGCATCTTCGACCATAGCTGATTTGAAGAATTAGAATCTCTATGAACAGGGTCAAGTCATTTTTAAAAAATTAAAATTAGAATGTACTCCATATATAGAGATGCTATATAAATGCAAAGATTCATTACCCTAATGCCATACAGTTTAAATATTTACATTACAATTATCTGCTTTTGTGTGTGTGTGTTTTGCTCATCTTTGTATGGCTATTTTTGATTAAGTGCTACACATGGTTTATGGAAAATCATAGAAATGATTTGAGGCTTGAAGTGATATTATCTTCTTCCAGATATAATTTACTCTTCCCCTGAAAAGCAGTTATGGTAGGGACAGATCACCTCAATCTAATTAGAGATTGAGCTGATCTGAAGCTGGTCTTCAGTCTTTATGATGGCAGGTCTATTTCTAGTTCACATCCTAGAGTGTAGTTCTTTGAGATCATAACCCAAAACCTGAGAAATGTACTGAGGTCCTCTTTCTTGTCAGATCCTGAACTCTAATTTCTGTCATTTGGATTTTGTGAGAATGCTGAAAGTTTTGTCTCGTTTCTGATCCTCTCAGCCACAACTATTACTTTCAACTGAGTTGAGGGAAAAGGCAGCTGAAACTCTCTGGACTTCTCTCTTTTGGTATTGGTTCTGCAGTTTCTCACTGACCAGTAACTCTAATATCCATTCAAACATATATGTATACATACCTTAACCAAACATACCTTTTCTAATTGTTCTCAGAGGCAGTGTTGACCAAAACAACCCAGTCAACCTCTGGCACATTCTTAGCAATGGACTGCAGAACACTGTCTTCCTGTAGTACTTTTCTTTCTTTCTTTTCTCTTTCTTTCTTTTCTTTCCCTCCCTCCCTCCCTCCCT